ACAACTTAACATTTTTCATCAACTTACTACATACAACTTAAAACAACATATATATTGCAACTTAATCAACTTCATCAACTTTCATTCATAAGCATCTTACAACTAAAGCCACTTTAAACATCATCATACATCAATGCATAATGAACTATAATCATATGACATCATTTATGTAAGTGAATCATCATACTTCAACACTTGGACAACTTAAAACATCAAATTTCACTTCAACAAACCACAGTCGACACCATCCTCCCAACGCTTGACATCATTGAGGCAAAGAGTCTCTAGCTCACCCACACCTAATGCCAAACCACTTGTGCCCAATGTGGGTGAGGCAGAGAACCTCTATGTTAATCACGCCTAGCGTACCAAAACCTACGTCTAACCTCATCTAAGCATAGAGTCTTTACCTAATTCACGTTTGGCGCCACAAAATTGGCACCCACTGTTGTCTAGGTAAAGAGTATCTATCTTGATCTTACATACCTCCACTCATTTTTGGGCTCGACCTCATTAAGTCAAAGAGCTCCTTAAGTAATCACACCCAACACTTCTCATTTCACGCCTGGTGTAACCAAGTTAGAGAGCTCCTCACTAGCCCAAACACAACACTACCAATCATATTCCCAACATCATCAAGGCAAAAATTCCTAACATGAGTCACACTTGATGCCATAAAAGCACACCCTACATGATGGGAATTCTCACACTTGACAAAATCCTCAAATTGGCTAAAACCTGCAAAAACACTCAACCCAACCAGCATGCAATCCTATTTCTAACACATATACGACGAATATGACACATTTCCAACTCAAAATACCACATGCAATCACTACACTTCAAGGATCACCAAATCCTACTCAAAGCACCTTCACAAACAACACTTAAAGCCAACATCTCCATCTCAGGAATTTCAATTAATTTTAACCATAAAAGAGGAGTTCATACAAGAATTAACAATCAAAATTCAATTATATTCAGCCACAAACTTCCCTTATCTCGAATTGCTCATAAATCAAGAGAAAAAGGCCCAAAGTCTTCAAGGTCGTTGTACAACTTTTCCCGATTTTAGATTCTCAGCTCTTGAAACTTGAATCTCTAATCTACCTCTCCTACTCAACTTAGGGAAAATTTAGAATGTTTTGCAAAGTTAGATAAGGAATGATCGATTCTAGAATCTCTCTCTAGCTTTTGTCTAAACTTTTTGAATATATGAACTCATAAGGTTCGCTATTTAAAAAATACCTTATATATCTCTTCTTTAAACTTGGTCAACTTGACTTCAACTATAACCACTATAGATTCAACTTAACTTTTAAGGGTTCCTTGACCCTTATAACTTTAAAACAACGCAATGTCCAATAATTCAACAATTAAACAACATATAACATATAATTAATCAATAAGACATAAATTCATGTAGTGCTTCATAGTATCTTTTTATATTAAAAAAATTTAGTATCTATATTCAATTTAACTAGTATTTCAGTATCTAAAATGCATAGAGTAATTGTCCATTATATATAACTATAATTTATAATAAAAATTATACATATAAATATCATGTTTGAATATAAAGTACATTTTAAATTTTATATAAATAGATACTTTTAAATATATAAAATATATTTTAGATTTATAATAAATATTTTATATTATAACACAAAATACAAATCTGCCTATCCGGGTTTGCTACAACCCTTACCAATTCCAGAGAGGATATGGTAGCATATAACCATGGATTTTATTGAAGGACTGCCAAATTCCAAGGGAAAACAAGTGATCTATGTGGTAGTGGACAAATTAAGCAAGGCTGCCCACTTCATGTCCCTAAAACATCCCTACACTGCTATTGAAGTTGCTCAATCTTTCTTGGACAATGTGTTCAAGTTACATGGTTTTCCAGACTCCATAACCAGTGACAGAGACCCTATATTTGTCAGTCAATTCTGGAAGGACTTGATGTCACTTCAAGGGGTTCAGTTACAACTCTCCTCAACTTACCATCCCCAAACTGATGGTCAATCCGAGGTTGTGAATAGATGTTTGGAGACATTCTTGAGATGTATGTGTTGTGATACTCCTCATGAGTGGTCTCAATGGCTTCCTCTAGCAGAATGGTGGTACAATACCAACCATCATACTGCCATACAGTGCAGTCCTTATGAAGTTATGTTTGGCCAACCTCCTCCAATTTACCTTCCTTATTTACCAGGGGAGTCAAAGGTGGAAGTAATTGATAGAAGTTTGCAGAAACGACAGGAGGCATTAAAGTTAGTAAAGTTTCACATGAAAAAGGCTCAAGAAAGAATGAAGCAATTGGTAGATAAGAAGAGAAGTGATAAATCCTATGAAATTGGTGATTTTGTGTATGTCAAGCTCCATCCATACAAGCAGATTTCAGTAGCATTCATACCTAATGCCAAACTAGCACCTAAGTACTTTGGGCCATTTCTGATCGAAGATAAGATTGGAGCTGTAGCTTACAAGCTAAAGCTTCCACTGGGGTCTAAAATCCATGATGTTTTTCATGTGTCACAGCTTAAAAGGCATGTGGCTGAAACACCAGTTTCAAGTTCCCTTCCTACAGATTCTGATGATGTTATGGGAGGCAAAGAACCTGAGAGAATTCTGGATAGAACAACTGTCAAGAGAGGCAACAAAGCTGTCACCAATGTGTTAGTCAAGTGGAAGCACCAGTTAATAGAAGATGCGACTTGGGAGTTCTTCTTTGACTTGAAGAAGAAGTATCCAGATTTTAATCCTTGAGGTCAAGGATTTTTTGAAGGCAGGGGAATTGATGTAGGAAGTTAATAAAGAAGCCACGTGGCAGCCAATCAATTTAATTTTGATAATCAGTTTAATTTTGATAATCAGTTTAATTTTGATAATCAGTTTAATTTTGATAATTCTGTTAGGATTTTCTAATTTGGTGTTGTTGGTTGTTTTAGTCAGTTGATATTATCAAAATTAAACTGATTATCAAAATTAAATTGATTGGCTGCCACGTGGCTTCTTTATTAACTTCCTACATCAATTCCCCTGCCTTCAAAAAATCCTTGACCTCAAGGATTAAAATCTGGATACTTCTTCTTCAAGTCAAAGAAGAACTCCCAAGTCGCATCTTCTATTAACTGGTGCTTCCACTTGACTAACACATTGGTGACAGCTTTGTTGCCTCTCTTGACAGTTGTTCTATCCAGAATTCTCTCAGGTTCTTTGCCTCCCATAACATCATCAGAATCTGTAGGAAGGGAACTTGAAACTGGTGTTTCAGCCACATGCCTTTTAAGCTGTGACATATTAAAATTTATTTTATAAATAAATATAATAAATAAAAATTAAATAAGATAAAAAAAACTTCTAAAAACTAGAATGGAAAAACAAGCCCTAGTCCATTGATCCACTAAAAATTAACAAGTCAGGTTAGACATCCTAGCCTGCGAACTCATCTCGCCAAGCTTGCCAGCCTACAGGCTAATTTTTTATTTTATTTTTAATATTAAGTTTTAGTAAGTCACATGAGATTTATTATCTGAGTAATTTGTGATTTGTTGTGCAACAAATATATTATTCATTTGATTTATTTTATTATATTTAATTTGAGATTTTTTGTGTAGAAATTTTTTTGGAAGAGATATATTATTATAATTACATATCTATTTAATTATGAAGCAAATTTGAGATTTGTTGCACAACAAATCAAACCAAATTGTTGTAATTTAACATTGATTTTATTATTTAGGTACACTAGTGACTAAATTGCACTTTTGGTTCCTCTAATTTTGTGAATCTACAATTTTGGTCTCTCTATTTTAAAATAGAGATATTTAGTCCCATTTTTTTTAAATATAGAATTTTGGTTGTATTGTCAACTTAATGTTTATAAATTGTTAAATTTTGATGTTGTACAATGATCTAACACTACTTAAGTACATGATATTTAGTGACATGAAATGTAGAGATAAAAATTAAAAAATAACATACAAAAAACTATTTTTATATATTTTAATAAGTGATTAATATTTATTTTATTAATAAATCTTGTTTACATGGGTATTTTTTTTATCTATAAATGTCATATTATTAAATGTCGCATCACTTAAATATAAATAAACATTAAAATTTAACAACTAATAGATGTCAATTTGACAAGAGGACAACAATTTTGTGTTGTTAAAATTAAAGGAACCAACTGAGTCCATTTTAAAATAGAAGGACCAAACTTGTAGATTAACAAAAATAGAAGGACTAAAAGTATAATTTAACCTACACTAATTTATGTGAGTCCTTTAAATATTGAGAAATAAATATGTTAAAAAATACTTAAAATAAATATACAAATTTTTTTTAAAAAAATTTAAAATATTTTTTGGCAGACTAACAAGTCAATCCACCCTCAAATAGAGTGACTAGAGTGTCGAGTCCATTTTCATTTGATAGGTCAACTCATCTAACCCTTTTGTATTTAATATATAAGAGTGAATTAATCTTTCTAACTACTTAACTTTTTCAATCTACATTTTTTTAACATACATGTCAATAATAAAAAATAACTTTTTACTATAACTTAAATTGTACTCTATAATTTTTTTAAAAAATAATACCTAAAAATATTTATTTATAATATTTTTAATCATTACATAATTTACATTAAAAGTATTTTACTATAAAATTCAATTATATAAAAACATTTATTTTGATAATATTTATTATTAAAAAAACTAATAATAATATGCTAAAAATATGAAATAATTTTACATTATCATCAAACCACAAATCATAAATTTTTTAAACTTTTAAAATCACCATTATATATTTTTCAATCATTGTATAGAATAAACTTGTAAAAGCTCCTTTTTAACCTAAAAAAACAATTTTTATAAAGCCTAATATTTTATTGTGCCTTAATCGAAAAAAAGGAAGCTACCAAAAAAAAAAAGAAAAAAAAAAAGAGTAAGCATATCAGGTGTATTAAAATAAAAAAATCAGCCCCTACTTATATCCCCAAAGGCCCAAACCCTTATTTTCGTATAGAATTAGGGTTTGCAGTGACAACTTTTGTTTCAGTGTGTTTAGATCAGAATCAGATCGACAACCATGGCGACGCAGATGAGTAAGAAGAGAAAGGTCAATGCTATAATCAATCGGAAGCACCACCATTTTCCTTTTCTCTTTCTCTTTCTTTTCTGTCTCAATTGAACAGTGTTAATGCGCAGTTTGTGGCCGATGGAGTGTTCTTCGCTGAACTGAACGAGGTTCTGACGCGTGAGTTGGCGGAGGACGGTTACTCCGGCGTCGAGGTTAGGGTTACGCCCATGCGCACCGAGATCATCATCAGAGCCACCAGAACTCAAGCCGTTCTCGGTTCGTGCTTCTAGAATCTTCCGTTACTTTTGTGTAATCGATTATTCATTCATTGATTGTTTTGTGTATATATGAATAGGTGAGAAGGGAAGGAGAATTAGGGAACTAACCTCGGTGGTGCAGAAGAGGTTCAAGTTTCCCGAGAACAGTGTTGAGCTTTATGCTGAAAAGGTCAACAACAGAGGTCTTTGTGCTATTGCTCAGGCTGAATCTCTTCGCTACAAGCTCCTTGGTGGCCTTGCTGTTCGTAGGTATGTGTAGTATTCCGCAAATTCATTCATTCTTATATATCTTTTATCATTAGGCACCGATTGTACTTTTGGTTCTTATGAATTTGTGCACTACTTGTTTATGTTTCGCCTGGGTAGGTTTATTTAGAAGCTGGATTACCTTTACTTGTTTATCGTATTTGATTTGACAATTTATTTGCTTGTGTTCGCCTAATGTTGTTCTTATATGTATAAGTAGTCTTGAGATGTTAAGTGGGAATTAAGTCCCTTAGGGGGAGTAAATGATCCTAGGATTGAATAACACTTCCTAGTTATATTAATATACATACTCTTTAACCAAATACAAAGTGTCATATGAAACCATCACAACATGATAGGTGCTTCTTTGTAACCCCTGTTTTATGTTTACTGTATGTTGCGAGGCTAACATTTTGTTCTTTTTCTTCTCACTTTATTGTTTGTTGCCTAATTGTAATATGCTGAGGACTTCTTTCAGTTTTGACTATATTAATATATGGTGTTTTGATAAGTTTTCCCCTGGTCTTTAATGGTAGTGTACGTTGAGGTGATATATTATGTTCTATGTGGTAGCTTCTCATTTTAGACCTGTGTTTCTGTAACAATATATTATGACAGAATTTTTAAACTTTTGCTTAGATTTTTTTTTCACAATTACAATTTTTCCTTCTCCATCTGTGTTGCAACATGATAACCTATATATATCTTAAACTATTTGTTACAGGGCATGTTATGGTGTTTTAAGATTTGTGATGGAAAGCGGTGCCAAGGGATGTGAGGTTTGTCTTATTGAACCAGCTCTAAACTCCTGTTATTATATTGCTTTAAGCAATTTGGTTGTAAATTTGTAATTGCTGTTTGACTTGAGCAGGTCATTGTTAGTGGAAAGTTGAGAGCTCAGAGAGCCAAGTCCATGAAATTCAAGGACGGTTACATGATTTCTTCTGGACAGCCAGTCAAGGATTACATTGACTCTGCAGTCAGACATGTGCTCCTAAGACAGGTTTGCGTTAATGATTCAGATACATGATAGAGTTTCTTTCAAAACTGTGATTTTCATGTTGGCTCATTTTCTTTCATCATGGAGTGACAGTGCTAATCACTTTTTTTCTATGTCTTGTAGGGTGTTCTTGGTATCAAGGTGAAGATCATGCTTGATTGGGATCCTAAAGGGAAACAGGGTCCTAAAACTCCCCTCCCTGATATTGTCACAATCCACACTCCAAAGGATGAGGAAGAATACAAGCCACCAGTTGCTGCTGCTGCTGTTTTGGCAACTGATATTGAGGTCCCTGTTGCTTGAAGTGTAGTAATTGTTAGTGCTCGAGTTCCTAGTATGCAATGTTTGTTGGGGAAAGACTAGTTCAAAATTTTGGTAGTTTCTTTACAGTTTTTACAAAGTACCAAGTATTTAAGCATCAATTAATTTTTTTTAATAATTTAAATCTTCACGCGCTGAGCACTATGAATTCTGTTAGTGATTCAAGCTATTGGTTTTGGTCTGTCTTATTTTCTTTATTCTAATGTTAAATCAAATTTGGACGTGCAGGAGAATTTTAAAAAGCATAAACTTTAGTATTCATTGTTAAAGAAGAAATTGAAACCCTTTTTTGTTAAATTTAAGTATTCATTGTTAAGTTTTCTTTCAAATTTATAGTGAAATTTGGAAACTATTTTTTCTTGGTTTTGATAATGAACGTAAAAGTGTTTTAAAATTGAGTTAAAATCATTTTAGTCAAACGATCTCTTACGGAATTGATTTAGGATGGGAGACATGGTGAAAGAATTGAGTCGTGTGATTTATGGTGTGGGTAAATTACTGTTAGATTCACTAATTCGGTATTAAATGGTCATGATCAATTGTCAGTAACTTTTTCTATCATTTTGTCACATACTTAAAATTATTGTGTATTTCTTTTATCATTCTCATTTGTTGATATATATTTTTCTCATCTTTTCTTTGGACGCCTTTATCCATCTTTAATCCACTTTGATGCACTCTTCGAAGATCTGATCAATGCACCCTTCTTTGAAAAGCATTTCACTTCTTAAAGCCCCAATAGAGACCTCTCTTGTGACTTCACACTATAGCCCAAAATTCCTCTCCGAGTCCGATGTGTGATGAGCAATAATAGCGTTATGTTTCCTTCACTTTTTGAACACAGAAATTACCTAGAAAAATTTTAAGAACAAAGATAAGTCACCTTAAAGTTGAATGGAAAAAAAATTAGAGAAGAAACAGGGAGAACATAAAATGCATACTTTGAGAAGAGGTTGACGTTAGAACAAGGTTAGGTTTTTCCTTATTAGTTCAACCGTTTCCCTTCTCTCGATTTCCCAACCTCATCTTGCAATCCCAAACCTTCATCTTTTCAAATCTAAAGCCTCAAATCTTTCTCTTCTCCCTCCACCACTCTTGTCTTGATCTCTTGCCTTACCCAAGAGTCACAATTGGTTGTGGCCCATAAGTGGTGGAGTCGCTTCTATTAGCAACTCCAAGAGTCCTAAATGTCAATATTTATTTTTAAATAAGTTAGTGATGTGTGTAAAGTAATAACTTATTATAATCGGTAAAAAAGTTTTGATCCATTGTAGAACATTTGGCTCCCTCCTTGTACCCAAGCATTGGTCATCAATGGGCATTATCATTTTAGTTTTGCTGTTGATAAGCATTATGTAATATTTAAAGGAATGTGTGTTTATCGTAAGTCTCCATCTTCTTTGTCCTGCAATTCCTCTCAAGACTCTGCATGTGTCCATTTTCTCTTCATCCTGTCTTTTTCAATGTTAAACTTATTTCTTCTCCGGTCTCTTGTCAATCTCTCATGAAACTTTTATACTCTCTTCATTCTACTTTTCTCTCGTTACACTTACGAGGATTCAATATTAAGACTCGAATACCCTTTAACGAATACTCTCTAACTTTTCTCCATTATGTCTCTTCATCGACGGATTCTAACATGAAGTAGGGAAAAATGTTCCTCATGGATGAGGCACTAAAATGACCGGAAATAACAGGTTTTTAACAGGAAAAATATAAAATAAAAAAAATTACAAAAATATTTGAGAGTTACGGTGGCGCGAACGTCGCTGCACGTGTGACCATGGTGACGTCGCTGCTGCACATGCGGCCACGGTGACGACGTCACTGCGCATGCAGTCACGGTGACGATGTTGTTGCACGTGCGGCCACGGTGACGACGCTGCTGCTGTCCACTGAAGAGGAATCGTCGAAACCCTCACCGTTCGCATCACCGTGGAACAAATCTCGTTCTCTCCGGTTAGCCATAACAAAATTAGATTACGAGCAGAGGAAAGAAATTAGAAACCCTAGGTTTCGCCGCTGTGCGAGCAGCCACAGTGACGTTGTCACTGCGCATGCGGCCACGGTGACGAGGCAGCTGTCCACCGAAGAGGAATCGTCGAAAACTCTCGTCTTTCGAGGGATCGATCGCATCACCGTAGAACAAATCTCGTTTTCTCTGGTTAGCTATAGCGAAATTCGATTACGAGTAGAAGAAAGAAATTGGAAACCCTAGGTTCTGTCGTTGCGCGTGTGGCCATGATGACGCCGCTACGCGTGCGGCCACGGTAACTGACAATGCCGCTGCACTTGCAGTGCACAGCCACGGTGGTTCGACGGGGATGAGTTGAGAAAACAAATTACTGGTTGTGTGAGTTGCCTTATTAGTTGAGAAAACAATCTCATTCGTTAATTTTTTTATTATTAATATATCTAATGGCTAAAACTAATGATTCATTCATGAAAGACACTAACTAAGTATATATATGGAGAATTATAATATATATATATATATATATATGTATATAAACATTTTGGTAGTAATACTCAATTATAATTTCTTGTTTCATGATAAGTATTGTAATCTTAAAATAAATGTTATATTAATTTTTTTAATATAATATTAATTATTTTTTCTCAATAATTTTTTATAATATTCTTTAAAAAGTGGTTATTCTATTATCATTTCTAGGGGGAAAATTAATTATTAGATTAATTTTATAAAATTAACATTTTCTTTCATCAATTTATTATTTTTGTCTGTATAAAATAATTTAGATCAACATTTATTATAAAATGAAGATAATAATTTTAGTTAAAAGAGAAGGACTTACTAAATAAGAATATAACTCATAACTTCTAATTTTCACAAAAATTCATCTAAAAATTATAAGATTTCTTCGAGGAGAACGTTAGAAAAATAAATTCACTTGCTTCAATGCAAGCTCTCTAAGTTGAGTGACAATCCTTCTTTCTTTTAATGTTCTAGACATCAATTTTTGATTGCACATTAATGAACAATCGTTTTTGTTACAATTATCATTAATGCAACTCAATTGTTTCTGAATAATTAAAATAAGTTGTCTCAATAAACCTTTCTTCAACCAAAAATATCGTACAAAGGTACGTTTCACAAACTTTTACAGACTAATTCTGACATTTATTTTATTTTATTTTCACGCATCTAACAAAATACAAATGTTTATTACAATAATAATTCGGCCTAAACATTAATTCCAAAATTCACAAATAAAAATCTTTGAATTATGAATTACTCATGTATCAGTTCAGACATTTATCTTACGATTTTTACTATACAACTGTTGCCTTAAAAAATATATTTTATTCGAAATAAACATGATACAAATTAATTCCAAATACTATATTGACCTAAAAAAAATTATTTGCAATATTGAATATTCAGCAACATTTTCCCCTCAACTAAAATAGGTAAGGCAGTATTTTTTCTTCAAAAAGGGAAAATGAATAATTACTCTAAATAACAACCAAAGGAAGAACATTTAAATGTACGAAATCAGTAAAAAAAAATTAAATACACATTTATAATTTCTTTTAAAGTCCGAAATCAAATACTTAATTGCATTTTGTAAAATTCACCCAAAAAAAGATGACTAAAATAGCACTGGAGGAAAATAACACATACGCACCAATGTCACGAACCACAAACAGAATTCGAACTACAGAAACAAGGGGTAAATATAAAAATAATTTATGCTTGAATCCTTGTACTGGAGTTTAAAAATTCTTGAAAAGATCAGAAACTACAAAAATCCGACTGGGTCTTTGCCAAGAAACACTGCATACTAGGTACTCGGGTGCTATGAATTTCTACTAGACAGCTATTAGAACATTTTCAAGCAACAGGGACCTCGATATCAGTTGCTAAAACAGCAGTAGCAGGTCGGTTGTATTCTTCCTCCTCCTTTGGAGTGTGAATTGTGACAAGATCAGGAAGAGGAGTTTTAGGACCCTGTTTCCCTTTAGGATCCCAGTCAAGCATGATCTTCACCTTGATACCAAGAACACCCTATAAAACACAGGAAAATGTGATTAGGACGTATCACTCCAAGATGAAAGAAAATGAGCCAATAAGAAAATCCTAGTACTATAAATATCAGGTATCCATAAAGAATAGGAGCAAACCTGTCTTAGGAGCACATGTCTAACTGCAGAGTCAATGTAATCCTTGACTGGCTGTCCAGAAGAAATCATGTACCCATCCTTGAATTTCATAGACTTTGCTCTCTGAGCTCTCAACTTTCCACTAACAATGACCTGCTCAAGTCAAACAAATATTACAGCAAAAACATTACATAAAGCAATAAAATAACAGGAGTTTAAAGCTGCTCCAATAAAACAAACCTCGCATCCCTTGGCCCCACTTTCCATCACAAATCTTAAAACACCATAGCAGGCCCTGAAATAAATAGTTTTAAGATATAGAGTTTATAATGCTAACACAAATACACAGAAGGAAAAAACTGCATCAGTGCAAAAAAGTAAACCAGCCATTAAAATTAAAATTGTAATGTAAAATATAGAAATTATAAGTTGTTAAAGAAACACAGATCTAAAAATGAGAAGCTACCATGAATCACATACAGTAACATTACCATTAAACAAGAGAATATTAATAATACCTATTAATAATACCACGTGAAAAATATAAAAGAAATGTTTGGTATATAACAAGAAAAAGAATAGCATTTCAGAAGCATAGCATACAGTAAACACAAAACAGCAATTACAAAGAAGCAATCCATCACATCATGAAGGCCTCATATGGCATTATCGCTTTGGTTACAGAGAAGGTATTTAACAAATGCAAGGGGAAAATAAGGCTAAAGAGGCAAAGTGGCTTGCAAGTATGATTCAATTCAATCCTAGGATCATTTAGTCCTAAGGGACTTAATTCCCAATTGACATCTCAAGACTAATTACACACATAAGAACAACATTAGAGAAATTACCAGTAAATAAATTGTCAAAATCAATTGAGATAAAATTATAATCCAGCATTCAAATCTATATACCATGGTGAAACATAAGCATCAAACTAGTGCACAAACTCATAAAAACCAAAGGTAAAACCAATGCCTAATAAAAAATCTGAAATTAAGATGTATATTAAGAATGAATGAATTTGCGGAATACTACACATACCTACGAACAGCAAGGCCACCAAGGAGCTTGTAGCGAAGAGATTCAGCCTGAGCAATAGCACAAAGACCTCTGTTGTTGACCTTTTCAGCATAAAGCTCAACACTGTTCTCGGGAAACTTGAACCTCTTCTGCACCACCGAGGTTAGTTCCCTAATTCTCCTTCCCTTCTCACCTATTCATACATACACAAAACAATCAATGAATGAATGAATAATGGTAATGGAAGATTCTAGAAGCACGAACCAAGAACGGCTTGGGTTCTGGTGGCTCTGATGATGATCTCGGTACGCATAGGGGTAACCCTAACCTCCACGCCGGAGTAACCGTCCTCCGCCAACTCACGCGTCAGAACCTCGTTCAGTTCAGCGAAGAACACTCCATCCGCAACAAACTGCACATTAACACCGTTCAATATGCAGAAAAAAAAAAAAAAACAGAATAATATTGATAATGATAAGCAGGAAGTGAAAATGTTGGTGTTTCCGATGGATTATAGCACTGACCTTTCTCTTCTTACTCATCTGAGTGGCCATGGTTGTTAGTGGGTACGAAACTCGATCTGATTCTGATCTAAACGCAGAGAGTGAGTGAAACAAAGGTTGTGACTGCAAACCCTAATTCTGGAGAAGTAGGTTTGGGCGCAGATAAAGATTGAATTTATAGGTAAGAGGACGCAGTTAATCCGACGGTTCAGATCACTTGAGTTTAAGATCGTAGGTTTTATTTAAAAATAAAATGAAATTGGGTGAAGAAAAATTATTAATTCTATTTTTTTTTGGTACAATGGAAAATAACTTTATTAATTCCATACTTAAATATGTTTTTATCCTCATAAAATAAACAAATTTTAATTTTGGTTTTTATAATATGTTTTCTTTATTTTTAATATTTTTAAAATCTATAATATTATTTTAAAGTATATATATAATATTATTTTAAAGATTTTCATATAAAAAAATTAAAGGTGTTATTTATAGATATTACTTTAGTTTTTTTTTTGGTAAAAAGATACTACTTTAGATAATCACATAACATTTTAATAAACACATAAGAAGTTAAAAGTATCTTCTAAAAAAAGTAATTAAAAGTGTCATATAATAATAGAGATTAAAACAATAATTTCAAATTTTAAAAGGATAAAAAAAATTAAATGATTAAAATTTTAAAAAATATTATCATTTTGCAATAACTAAACATATTTACGCTTTAATTCTATTAAAAGAGTTTTTTTTTAATATTTCAATATTATTTTTTAAAAAATCATATACGCATAATGAGTGTTGTGACAATATTATGAAATTAGTAGAATTATTATAAATTATAAAAATCATAATGAAAATAATTATAATTTTATAAAATAACTTTTTTTATTACCAATATTAACTTAAATTTTCTGCATTTGTAACAATCAATATTCATACATCAATCACTTAGTTAACTACATAAAGACTCGTCAATTCAAATTGATAGACTTATTTTATTGCAAAGATGATCATAATAGAAATTAAATCTAAGTCTATATTTCTATCATTCCATCTCCTTCTCTCCAATTGTACCGAGATTAAAGTTACAAACATAAATTTATTGATTATTTTTCTTAAGTATAGATTAATTTTTAATTGTCAATTTTGTAATACTGTCCTTTTATTTAAAAAATAATGCCTGTTATGCACTACACTTTTGCAGAAACTTCTCCATTAGATATTACATGGTGCATACACTTATTGTTTCATTATTGTACCTACAATTTAAGAGTACCCATACAGAAAGTTGCTCCTTTGCCTTTGTAATGTAAGGTTCAATAGAAATTAAAAGCTACAAAAATCAAACACCGTTTTCAATTCATTGAAGCAAAATGATTCTCGCAATATAAGTCCAGGAAAAGAAAGATTAATGTGCCCCACTTTAAAGGATAAAAGCCTTCTTGCATTGATCAAAGAGTAACACATGTAAAAAACATTTTTTTAAAAAAATTCCTTTTTGCCAACTCAGAACCCCTATATTTTTCACTGAATTTAAAATTCCTTATACTAGAAAAATAGGAAGTAAATAATACACTTGAAACAACTACACATATCCCTGGTAATGGTACAAGATGAATCCTCATTTTACAGTACAACCAGGATTTCAAAAATTTATGGATTATTTCCAGTATATTGAAGTAATTGAACAACAATGTTCTAGGCTTACACAATACAGTTTGTCAGTAGAAAACAAAACTTATTAATATCTTCAATCAGTAAGATTATGTTGATCTATTCCGCTTCACATTCTGTTGATCAGAGCCTCAGGAACTACAAGAATTATGCACACGCAATGAAAGAATTTCGACTCCAAATTTCAGTTTAATTCTTTTCACCTGCACCTGCACATGACTCCAAAAAGTTAACAGCTAATGCAATAAGAGGGGCAAAAGACTTCACTATTAATGATTTTTTTAAAAGATTTAATGGCTATACACGGTCAGTGTAAAAGCTTTTACACTGTCAACTAATCAAAAGTCTTGGTTGTCATGACTTTTAAGCTAATTGTTTTAAAAGTACAAACTCACTATAATGGTAGTTTGTGACTAGATGAATGTATAAAACTGTTTTACAGTTTTGGTGCATTACCTTTTCTCTTTTTTAAAACACTGGAACTTGATATGATATAATTAAGGAAGACAAAAACCTTTATGGCCAAAATCAAGTTAAAACCTCTTCACATGCCTTGGAAAGGTGATATGAGAAACTTGTTATTTATACACCATGACAGACTTATACACATACTAAAAGCAGGCCAACTAAATTAGTTCACCATTTCCAAGTCAACAAATCAAATAAAAGTGTACCAATTCGGAGAGATATTCACAAGTAGTTCCTACCCAACAGTTGTGTCACACTATCTCACAAGTTCCCAGTCCTCTTTTGACATGTCAAAAATTTCAACACAACCATCCTCAAACATGACCTGCAAAAGCAAAAATAAATGGATACTCATATTTGATGACAATTTTCATCTTAAATGTGAAAATACAACCAAAGAATCTCTTACCGAGTGTTTTCGAGAATGTTTATCAAACCGTTTAATAATTCCAAACCTGTAACATTTTAAGAATGAAAACAATGGAAGTTTATAATCTCTATTGACTTAATTGCAATTTTGGTCCCATGTAATATCAAATCCATAATTTTGATCCCTATATTTTTAATTCCGCAATCTTAGTCCATCAATTTTATAAAATGTGCAATTTTAATCCCTCTATTGAATGATCATCAATTAATCGTTAAAATTGTAACATTGACCATGACCATCATTGGGTAAATGACATGATGATTAGTGAAATTTGGCCTAACATTATTAAATATTTAATTGTCATGTCATTTATTTCTTGTCAAATTATGACTAATGTAACAATTTTCACAATAAAATAGAAAGACCAAAATTGCGAATTTGATAATATAGGGGGTACAAAATTGCGCATTTAAGTTAACCTTAATAATTAATAAAATATAAATAAATGCATAAACCACATGAGACAGTATCACAACATACCGCACATTTCCAAGCTGTTTTATCCTAATAACTTCACCAATGCAATTGTGCAAGCACTTTGATTGGTCAACAACACGAGAACTTCCTGAAACACCAAGTACAACAAAAAGGGACATTTTATAATATAGAAGATAAAATTAAAAGAGGAGGAATAGATTATAGATTTTAAGCATTATTTCTTTCAGAAGAAAAATAAAATAGGATATAGTATATAGTAATAGTAAATGTTGAAAGTAAGGAGCGGAGATGACATAAAAGATGAGCTGAAACCATGTTTTAGTTTTACTACACCACGAGATTAGGTTTATATGACTAACAAAATAAAGAAGCAAGCTCACCAATTTGCAAACCTCCATTATGATAAACCTGTCCAGACAAAAAGCACACAATTAGTCAAAAACAGAGATACTTATAAATTGGTATACATGTAGTACAGACCAAATTCAATAAACGTGATTAAGCTAATTACTTGGGGATAGATCGCATAAGAATAAAAAATGGAAAAGAAAACTGAGAGGATAGAATGACTAGTAGCACCTTTTAAAAGGGGAATGTAATTCCATCAAATGAATGATTTGTCATTCCCTCCATAAAGGGAGTTTTATCATAATACTTTAGTATGTTAGCTTGTGCAGCTGCAGCCAGCTGTCACATTAGGTAACTGACTCATTGAACTTTATCTTTATATGAAATAAATAAATAAAAATATGTGAAATAATTAAAATTTTAAATCAAATCGAGTTGATGAGCTAAACTGAACCATTCTCAAAGTCAAATTGTATTGAGTCGTTTCCAACCCTACTCTCCTATGATTGTTTTGGAGAATGAATTCAATGAACACAGTTTCTGTTCTCTGAATCTATGCTCACCACTAAAATTTCTCTCTTTTTCTTTTAGCATACGTTTGGAATGTGAAATCCCATTGTATTCGAGGAGTCAAGGATTTGTTGGGCCTTGAGACCTCAAGGGAGGATACCTGCAGATCCCCCAAGTCACCACTGGAGTCTGAGGTTGAGACCCCTCACTTCCCGGATCAATGTCCGCCACAGAAGGGAACCGAAACATTCATCTTTCCTTTGTTTGGTTCTTTAAAAGATCAGAGGGAAATGATTAAAAAGTGGGTGGGATTGGGACCAGCAAGTTTATTAATCTCTCCAAAATGGATAGAAAAAGAAAGAGAATGATGCTATATATATATATATATATATATATATATTAAATACCTACAAATATCTTTTAGTTATTGTATATTTTGTTTTATAAGGGAGATTTGTTGTATTTTATAAACATATTTAAACCAAAGATACCTAAGACTAGATTGGATAAACTTCTCTAGAAACACTTTTAGGAGAGAAAATAGGAAAGAAAAATGAAAAGGTTTCTCCATAATGGGTTATGCATTAAGTAAAAAATAAGTTTTTGCGGAAGCCAACATGAGAAAGCTTCTACAAAATTATGCAATTTCATTTTTTCTTCCTACTTTTTTCTCCTTGAAGTGCTTATAAAGAAATTTATCCAAATAAACTTCAACCAACTTACTAAGTTTTTTCTATGATAACCTCAAAAAAAGTGAGGCATCACATAATTTTAATGATATTTGTGTCTGTCCCTCCATATGAAGTGTTGGTTCAAGTGTCTAAACTGACAAAAAAAAATATTTTTTTAATTGGATACCTAATGATTAGAGTTAGACACATGTCCAGGAAGTGCCAGTTTTCAGAAAGTGTCCAACATCACGAAACTTCAAACAAGAGAAGTGGTTGTGCTTCATAGATACACTCTCTCCTATTGTTTAAAATTTACTCAACCCACTCATTAAATAAAAAGACAAACCCACAAAAATTTGTTATTTCTAAGAGTGTGTTTAGAAAAATGTGTTGCTAATTGCTATAGCATTTATGTTGATTGGAGTAAAGATCTAAAAAGGACCATACCAAGATTGTGGGATCGCAAGATTTTCCTACTGTGGCAAATTTGGTTTTCTGGGTAGGGTTGCATGAAACAATAATGTGTTTTAACTTGCTTTTTTCCAGCAAATCAGTGGTTTCTCCTCCTTAACATCACATTACGAACCTCTTCTCACATACTAACACAGTCCCACCTCATTCTTATTCTCTCTCAACCTCTACCTCCGTCTCTTGGTTCTGATTTCTGAACTATTTGGGCTGTAATTCAGTTCAGATTTATGCATGCTTCATTAAACCTACTTTACTTTGCATCTCTCATTCAATGTTATCAAATAACCGTTATGATGCCGCCATAAAGGTATAACATGACGTTTTTGAACCCTTCCACCATTCGCTATCTGTTATTTCCTGTTATATAGCGACATCCGCCATGGCCATGGCTTCATGGCGCCTATGGTAGAATTCCTCCTCATCCTCTTTTTTTTTCTCATCTTTTCTCTTTTGAAGCTCCTAAATTGCGAACAAACAACTATGGTGAGCCTTCTTAGGCCACTAGCCTCCAGCGACCTGAACCATAGCGGCCTAAGCTCCAAAAAGTTTTCCGGCCAACAAATCCAGTGACCCATAAGAGTTCTTTTTGTTTTCTATTTTTTTTTCTTCTTCTTCCTTCCATTTCTTTATTTTTCTCTGTTTTTTCCATCTATTTTTCATTTCTTCAGATGTTCATCATCTTTCTCTCTCTCTCTCTCTCTCTCTCTCTCTCTCTCTCTCTCTCTCTCTCTCTTATTTTATGTGATTGTTCTTGTTCTTCATCTGTTCAATGTTTTTGTTCTCAATTTTTCAAAATTTTGGAATTTATTTATCTATACTTTAGAAATTCATTATCATGTTCTGTTATATTGTTTTTTAAACCTATAATGTTGTTCTCAATTTTGTTTCACTTATAGCACAATGGTAAGCAGTAAGCACCCAACACTAAAGTCATGCATCCCAAAAGTCTCCTTTTTTTTTATAGTTTTGCTTTTAATATATATATATTATTTTTGTCCGCCATAAGCCGCCACGCCATCCACCATATGTTTATGGCGGATTTTTGGCTTACCGCCATAGACCATTATCCGTTATTGATAACCTTGCTCTCATTAAACATGGCTTCAGTTCATATATTAGTGATTGAACTTTGTAAACTCATGTGACTAATTAGAATCAGAGCCTTATTTAGAATTTTTATGTGAAAAACAAAACATTACGGTATTCCATTGAAAATATACAGTAAGGTGGGAAAAAAAAGGTGAAAGACTTGATGTACAAACCATCTATTCATCGTACCAAAGCATATATAAAAGTCATTCCCTCTTAATTCTTGGATAACTACAACTATAGTCTATCTCTCAACAACCTAAAATCCCAAGCACCTCCTCTGTTGAATATTGAAGTGGCCACTGGCCAGGTTGTTGAAATCAAGCTTTGCCGTAGCAATTTAATCCTCCAGTTACCCACCCCAAATTTTTATGAAAGTTTGTTCCTGTGTGAATCTTCTCTAATGTAAATACAGCACAAATGAAATATAATGCCTAAGACGGTCCTACTAATAATTCTCCCAATAATAACAAAGAAATGACACGTGTTGAACATTCACACCCAAAAACATTATTATACAACTGCTTCTTGGGCTTATAATTTGGAAATTCAGGACCGTAACCACCCACCATAAGGATTTTACCACATATAAAAGGCCCTTTTTACCTTTTCATTAACTTCATTAATCTCATTTTATTGTTATATCATAAGAAAAGAAAGCCACTTTTACGCACAAAAACTCCCAGACATGCAAACACAACAAATAAAACCAAACAAGTCATGGAAATCCAAATTCTCAATCACAAGTCTAATTTGTAACTCAAGAGTCATAGAGACATATATCTACTCTAGATAGATTGGCTATTTATGAGAAGATGAAGCCACCTGATATGCAACTAATTTTAATGCAGCATCTGAAGCCATTTTAGGCTTGGTAGGTCGGACACCCAACTTACGCCTACACTCAGCAGCACCACAGTGGCAATCTTGATCTGCACCAAATTGAACAAACCTGCTACGTAGTTAGAAACATAGAAAACATATCCATATAGAAAATATAGTTCAACTGAAAGGGTGTAATCAATGAAACAGGAAAGTGCACATACTGGTAATCATAAGTCAGATGCTCGCCCTTTTTTATGTCACGAGTCGCAAATATGCCAATTCTTGTTTCACCATCAATTATCCTTAAGATAGAAAAAACATGCACTTGTTAGAGGAAGTACCTAAATCACACTATTAAATGATGATGTAAAATAAATGACCAAATATTGCTACAACATCATATGAATAAAACAATTAGTAGTCAACCATTTCTGCATCTCAGTATTGGGGCAGCAACTATGATTAATGTATCTTGATTTGTTTCCCTTATATGTTGCATCAATCACCATATCTCGATTGATTTCACATAAGTAGAAATTTGTTTCCCCACGATGCTTCATATTCCAAAGCCTTTCCTCACATGTTTTGTCATCAATTACTGTAGAGAAAGGCTCATAAGTAGCTTTTAAGATAATTTAAAGAAACAAAAACTCATTTTATAAATGTAGCCATGAAAACAATTCACTGTCACCTTCTCCAACATATTCGATGACAAACTCCCCAAGCTTGATATCTTCATCCGCCACAATTCCAGAACCACATTTCTCAGTCTACAAACAATATATTAAAATTAAATGTTATTAGAAGAGAAATGCAAGTTTTTATACGTATTCAACTAACCTAGCTAGAATAAGAGCACACATCTATGTGCACAAAAACAGGGTGCTGGTGTTGGGATGGATATAAAAGTGGTTGAAATAATGATAAATGAGGTCGATCAATTAAGAAAGGAAAAAAATTATTAGTTTTCAAATTTCCTTTTATGGTAAAGAATTTATTAGTTTGTTTAGCAAAAACTAATAGAATAAAGACTAAGGAACTTTCAAGACAAAATAGAAGGAAAATACATCCAGTAACTAAAGATAACAGTGATACACACTGCAATATGAGCAGAAATTAAAATGGAGAACATGAAGAATTGATTTTGCAAATGAATAGAAAATACAGGAATAACTTTTTTGAAGACAAACATTCATATATGTTAATCTTCATAGTGTTACGAGGATGGAACAAATTACTGAAAATAATAAAATACGAGAAAATACTGAAATAGATATCAAGATTATAACAAACCAAGAACAAAATCCTGAACCACAAGTTTATACCTTAACCAATTTCATCTTTTTCGCAGGACGACTCTGAAACGGTTTGTTAAGACATGAGCTCCCACATTTACAGCCTGATGAACAGCTAGACTGAAGCATCCTACAGGGACAGTCAACATAATGAATGAATAATTTGACTCAAAATTATGGTGCTATACTTGACTTTATGTTTATGCATTATTAAATAATAAAATAAATAGTATACTCTCTAGAAACAATAATTACTCATTTTAAATATATAACAACACTCCACAGGGAAGACCACTAGCATGATTATTCCAAGATAATAACCCCTTTCAAGCATGGAACAAAACCAATCAAGCTACACGCCTACACCATCCCATTCTTGTTCATTTTGCGGGGTTTTGAGGAATGTAACATGTTTTTCTATCCTGCTCAGCTATGGAAACAATCATTATCAGGGTTCAGGTCAGTAACAATGAGAATAATCAGCAACCCAATAGTGACGATAATGATAAATTGAATCAATATTACAATAATAATAATATATTTCTGAAAAAAGAAATGATTATTTTGGATGGATGGCTGCTGACAATAAAATTTAGAAATTAAGGTAGATTCAGCAATAATACTCAGATGGAGTCAGCGTGTGCTAGAAATGAGAATAAACAAGTAAAAATTTCCATAAAAACACGTACAGATGGAATACTTACCCACAGTGGCAATCTCTTCCACATACACTGGTAGATCCAGGGGAAGGAGTACAGGAACAGAATATGCCATCATCGTCAAACCGAGATTTCTTGACCTTCTTAGTGACATATATATCTTAAATTAATAAGAACAAACAAAAGATTATGTAAACCTATACGTCATTTTAAACTGACAAACTAAGTATAACAGGGTCAAATACTTCAGAAGAAATGAGGAAACTACAAACAACTGAAGATAGCATATGAGCTGGGCCAACATTTACAAATTAGGTTACTGTCCTTTACATGAGAGATTGTGAACATTTCAGGATAATGTGTATGAAGGATACTGCGTTTTATATAGGTGTACTGCATAGGCTTCAATTTATTAATCCAATCTGGAAGTTCAAAGTCAACAGGTTCTCCAAGCACCTTTTCCAACTTGTTGAATACAGATCCAAACCGACTCTCTTCAGGATTCTGTTAAAACAAAAAATGTAAGGAACTCGATATACAGACAAATGCAATTTAAAAAGGTGAAATTCTAATTGATTAACTGAATAGTAAGAGACTACAACAACATATTCTATAAAAAGTAAAATATACAAGGAAACCCTATCAAAACCAAAATACATTGTTTGATTAATAAGGCCATCTTAACTTAAAAGGAGAAATTTAACAGATATAATATAAACAGCAAGAATAAATAGTTTCTATGAGAGAACAATGCTGCAAATCTCAAAAGAAAAAAGAATACACAGAATAAAGAGATGGAATAAGGCACAGCAACTTCAACAGTGGATAATTAAATAAAAAAGAATAAGGAAAAGCTATTCTCTTTTACCAATAGTTGACTTAAGAGAGAGAGAGAGAGAGAGAGAGAGAGAGATACATATGGCAAATAATAGTAAGTTCTCACATCTAATTTCCATGCACTTTGCCAATACCAACATTATCACATTGTAACATTTTAAAGAACTGAAGAGAATGACTAGTCAAAGGTGTACTACTACAACACCAAACAACCTTTTTCATGGCAGGCATGAAATCTGATAGAGTACTGGATATTCCTATGTGATCAGCTTGTATCTCAGTTTCTCAATAGAAGCTCAAACGATAAATCGGATATTGAAAATCAATACCACAAAATCCACATAAGACTTACTTGATTCCTTCCAAAGGCATATTTTGCCTACAATATGAAGAAAATTTTATTAGCTTTAAGCAAAGGCATCAAAATTTATCCTTATGTTTAAGTTTCAAAATCAATAAATCAAAAAACTAGCATCCTTGATCAGATATATACATAAATAGATTTTTCTTCCACATGTTAGTGCAATAACAAACAGAAATTAGACAGTAAGAGCAGTGGAAAGATGGTTCAATACTTATTCCTTTTAGACTGTCAAATGTCAGGAATAAAAGAACAATTAATACACAATAAGGTTCACTAAGAAACTGCAAAGTGAAATTTACAAAAAAAATAAAACCAATTACAAACATGAACATCTAAACAAGATTCCTAACAATCCTATAAGATTTCGAACTCTTTTTCTCGATTTAGATCCATAATGATTTATTTCTTCTAGTCTGTCTTAATCTTTGTTTTACAATATAAATAATTTAAATGAACAACTCATATAAATTGTTTTTAAGTCTTTATAACTGCACTTAATCTGTTGATCAATTTTACAACTTCAAATGCGGGAAAAAAAAAGTGCCAGTATAGGAGAACTGTGCAGTAAAATTTAAATGAATATAAATTGAAAAACTAAAAGGACCCTGGCTCACATGCACAGGATTTGGTACACACAAGCAAGGATCAATTTAATTTCCTAAAATCCCATCAATCTCAAATCCTCAAACAAATTGTTCTTTGTAAATTCCAACTGTCATAAAAATGTTCAGAAGAAAATCCCAAAAAGTGCAAGTCTCTCCCTTCACCCAAACAAGAAAAAAGTAATTATATAATTGAAAAATTCAAACTTTTTTCTCCCCTTGTTTTCACAAATAACAATTGAAATCCTACATTCACAAATCACAATTCTCCCCTCCCCCTTCCGTCTTATACTTTTCCATTCCCCCAAACAAGAGAAAATTTCTGAAAGAAAAAATTAATTATATAATCGAAAAATCCAAACTCTCCCCCCTCTCTTGTTTTCCCAAGTCACAAATGAAATCCTACATTCACAAATAACAATTCTCCCCTCCCCCTTCACTCTTCTACTTTTTCCTACACCACCCAGCAAACAAGAGAAAATTCATCAAAGAAAAAAATCATTACTATATAATAATTGACAAATTCAACCCGCCCTCCCCCTGTTTTCACAAATCACAATTGAAATACTACATTCACAAGAATTCTTCCCTCCCGCTTCCCTCTTTTCCTTTCCCCCTTTCATCCCAAAACAAAAGAAAAATCCTAAAAAATATATATATAATTATGTAATTGAAATTTTCAAACTTTTCCCCCATGTTTTCACAAATCACAATCGAAACACTAAATTCACAAATCACAATCCCCCCGGTCCCTCTTTTACTTTTCCCTTTACCCAGACAAGAGAAAAGTTCCTCAAAGCCAAAAGTAATTAAATATATAACTGAAAAATTCAAACTTTTTCCCTCCCCATTTTCTTTCCCCGGACTAGAACTCAGAACAGTGTGAGAAAAACACTGATGGAAAGTAGCCACACACACAAGTGTGAGTAAAGAACCAATTTTTGCGAAAACCCATAAAAAAATCGTTGCGAATGTTAGTGGGACAGTCAAGAAACTTCAAAATCACAAAAGAGTTGGAATGGAATGAGCGAGAATCCAAAAGGGGATTGTAGAAGCAGTGAAAAAGAAGGGCAAAATGGGAATAAGCATCATAATCCAGAGAGAGAGAACCTGGGAGGGTGTTGAAGAAGAACAGAGTGAGCGATTGGAAACAAAAAATGGACGTGACGGTGTGAACGCGTGTATATAACCAACTCAGATAAACTGTCGGGTGCGATTGGTGTTTGATTCTCAGTTGAAGCTTTTCAAACTTCAAACGACATCAGATTCAGAACTTGACCACAAAATAGGGTTCTTTATTATTATTATTATTTTTTAATATTTTGTATTTAACATACAAATTAATGTCAATTATAATGATTGTTAAATAAATTAGAATATTATTAAATAAATAAATCAACCCATATATAAATCACAAACTTGCTCATGAGTGTTTTTAAATTTTTTTACGAGAGAATTTTTTAAAAAAATTAACTTCACATTTAATTTTTATTTATCAATTAATCTTTGTATATAAATCATGAATGAATGTGATAGTTTTTTTGAGATTTTTCTTTAATAAGAAAATCTTTAAGATTTTTTTTCATATCTAATTCAATTTTTATAATTATTTAAGAATAAAATTTAATATTTTTAAAATAAATTATCGATATTTAAATATAATTTATATATTTATTTATTTAAATTTTAAATATAATTATATATTCAAACATAGTAATTATTTATATACATAATTTATTTTAAATTTAGTTATTTATAATAAACATTTAAGTTGTGCATTACACATGCTAATATGCTAGTTATAATTATATATACACAATTACACATTAATTTGACTATGATGGAGAGGTACAAAATTTAAATTTAAGTATAGATTATTTTTTTTTATAACAGTAGTATTGATACAAAGTATCTACTATCGAAAAATTAATTGTATCAAAATAAGGATAATAATATGCACGAAATCTTGCTCCCCTTTGACTTAATCCTACCCTACTTTCACAATAAGCATGATCTTCATAGGCCAGTAACACAGAAAAGCAAGGATAAGTTTGTGGAAGAAAACATCATATCATTAAATATAAGAAATAAACAACTTATAGCAACATATACAGCTTTAGCAACATGTTAATTTTTCAACTTAAAAGCATAATAATAACTTTAACAACATTCACAACTTAATAACATAAATCAACTGAATAACTAATCCACTTAAAGCAATCGGGCAACATAAACAACTACTCAACTAAGCAACATAAACAACTACTCAACTAAGCAACATAAACAACTTAAACAACCGATTAGCTTTAAAGCATAATAGTAACTATAACAACATCCACAACTTAACAATATAAACAACTTAGCAATTGAACAACATAAATAATTGAGTGACTAAACAATTGATGTGTCAGCATGCATAACAACTTATGGAACTTTCCTGCAACTGAGTGAGTATTCTAAGTTACTTGACATTACCAAACCATGATGATTGGTAAAAAAATAAAAAAAAACGATTAACATGGTAACCAAAAACACCGACTAGTATAATAACTAGAAACAATGGTAGACATGGTAACGATAAATAGTTTCTTAAGTTTTGCTACTTACACTAATAAAATTAAATATTATTGTGAACAACTTAGGTATGAGTCTACCACGACTTAAACATGCATAACTAAACACATATGAAATTAGCCTACCGATTATCCTTCAAATATTATGCACTTTTTCAATACTTGGTTAGAGATTTTTGTCTCCGGCCTTATACCATATTCATTGGCCACTTACAACAAGTATGATTGACCTCCACCATATTGTTTCAACTAAAAAACCTAGAGGGGAAAACTTAAAACAACTTCCCAATCAGAAGACATCTTACTAGCTAAAGGGTTTTCAACTTTTAGGCTCTTAGAGCACCACAATGGATATTTACACAATGAGATATTTAAATTTTCAAAAATAATTTTTCTCTCCTCTAGTTTACTTTCAACTTAAAACATGCACCACATGTTTATAACAACTCACTTCATAAAACTTCCAACAACAAGCTACTTCCAAATTTAATCAACTTAAATCATCATAACATATAATCAAATATCAACATTTTATATATTATATTCAATTATCATATTTCAAGTATTTTACAACATCATGAACAACTTACATTCACAACTTAAGCACCATGAAATAAATCAACACAATTTATACAACACTCAGAACATTATCCAATTCAACTTAAACAGCTCAACATGTTTTATTTCAACATTCTACAACATGATTCATCAATCATTAATTACATAATATAACATCACTCTGTAATTATTCAACTTGCAATAACAATATGATAGTACAAACATAAATATCTTGAAAGTCCTAAAAATCATCAAATCAAATTAACTTGGCCCAACGAATTATGCTGATCCTACATGTAACTTCACCATTTTGTGATTTCTTACCTCATAAACTCATCTATTAGTTTTAAAATTGAAATCAAAATCATAGAAATGATTCTAAACAACTTAGATAACATGAATTCATCATTAAATTTGTGACACCCTCTACCCCAACAATTATAAAAACATATTCTTAGTTTAAATAAAATCTTTAGAATTAAAACAATGAATCCATTAATATAAGAGTAGAGAATTCACATTCGTAAACTTCAAACATGGTCAAATGCGGAATTGATAGAAAAATGAATCTTTTCCAAAACAAAATAACAATAAGAAAATCTTAAACTAAGTCTAGTTATGCCCCGATGTCACATATCCTATCAGAGCATGCCCAACTGAAGCCTAAGCCTCGTCACCAACATTCTCGTGCTGATGATCACATGCAACCCAATTTAAACACATACAAAGAACAATAAGGAAGTGAGAAACATCTCACTCATGTTTAGGTGTAGAAATAAATGTTAAATAACACACACACAACAAACATAAGTCACAAGCACAAATCACATGTAAACAATACACATACACAATCAATATCACATGTATACTCATTTATCATGCAATGATGTCATAGACTCGACTCGTAAATGCATGCATGTGTCGCCATACAGAAGTTTCACATTTCTCATCATTTCATCACTAGTGACCCAAGGTACACCTAGAATAGCTTGTTACATTACTGGTATGCGGCATAAGCGGCACGCCTAGAATAAATCATTTCATCACATAGCTTGTTACATCACTGGTATGCGGCCTAAGCAGCACACCTGAAATAAGTCATTTCATCTCATAGCTTGTTACATCACTGGCATGCGGCCTAAACAACACACCTGGAATAAGTCATCTCATCTCATAGCTTGTTACATCACTAGTATGCGACCTAAGCGACACACCTGGAATAAGTCATCTCATCTCATAGCTTGTTACATCACCGGTATGCGGCCTAAGCGGCACACTTGGAATAAATCATATATACACATGATGCATGTCACACATTCACTATTTCATTGACTCAACATTTCACTTGTCATGGAATTTTCATGTCTTATCTCATTTCATCACGTTTCACATTCTCACAGTCATAGTGTTCACATTAGCACATTCTCATTCACATCATGTCTCATGTCATTTGTTCATATTTCACATAGTCATACTCATAATTGTTCCTCGTAGGGTTTCACACAGGAACCCACTGAACACTCTAATTCATATCAAAACTTATCTAATTTTGAAATCAAATACATATTTACACTCTACATCACACAAAGAACACAACAGAACAATCAGAAGGCAAAACAGAAAACATTCATATTTGACTTGTTTTCTCATACAGTTCTCTCAAGAACCCATAGAGCATTCTAATTGATATCATTAAAATTAATCACATATTCATACATCACATCCAACAAAAAACAAAATAGAACAATCAGAAGGCAAAACATAAAACATTCATATTTTGTCTGTTCCTAGAAGCATGCATCAGGCAAGGGATTGGGGGCTAATCCAACTACCCAACAATTATTTCCACACTCCCGAGTGAGGTTTCTCACTCCCCCCTTACCTGGATAAGCAAAAAGAGAAGCTAGAGCGGAATCTGGTTAATCTTCTTCTCTTGATTCTCCTTGGTCTCCAGAGAGTGTGTCTAGAAATAGTGCCAGAGTGCTCTATTTATAGATTTCAGGAGTGACTAGAACGGCCCGTTTCAGATCCGAAATGGCCCGTTTTGGATCCTTTCATCATATGAAAAATTCACATATGGAATGGCCCGTTCTCAAACCAGAACGGCCCGTTCTAGAGATGAGTTTTAACTCACAACGTCCATATTTGGAATGGCCCGTTCCCAACTTTGGAATGACCCGTTCCCAACTAGGGTTATAAGCTATTTTGGTGGTTTGGAACGACTCGTTCTAGACTACTAAATATCAAACTTTTTAATAGCTTGGAATGACCCGTTCCAATGTGGGAACGGCCCGTTCTAGGCTACTAAAACACCTTAAATAAAATTTTATGAAAATTACTAAACCATCCTCAATAAAAGTATGAAAACTGGGGTGTTACAAAATTCAACATACAACATGAATACAACAAGAAATCATAAATTTTAGGTCTTGGGTTCATCAACCCTAAGTTCTCCTTCTTCAACAACTACCTCAAAAAGGATGATAAAGAAAACACAACGAATTCTAACTTTTTGTACGACAACTTCTCCCTTTAATTTTCAACTCCTTAGCTTTGAATCTCTACTTAATTACAATAATCTCTACTTCAGGGAAAAATCAAAACACTTCTAAAAAGTTAAAAGAAAGAGAGATCTCTTTTAGCTTCAAAGTCTATCTCTCTAAACCTTTCTTTAGAAGCTTTAAGAAATGAACTTATGAAGTTCAAATCTTTAGAAAATCTTATATGCTTCTCCTAAACTTTGTCAACTTTGGTCTCAACTTCAAACAAATTAACTTTTAAATTCCCTTGACCTTCAAAGTTTTAAAATAATAACATTTAGAACATAACATCATTTAAAAAAATATATATCATATAATAAAACATCAAATCATACAATGTTACCTCGTTCTCCAATTATAGTTGGAGTTTTGACTTGGTATTATACACTTGTATTTAATGTATATTTAGGCATACTACTAAGATAAAACTTTAACTTTATATGGAGAATAACATCAATTACACCTAAGGAACTATACCTAAATTTTGTCTGAATGATAAATCTCTTTTGAATTTTAAATTTCAAAATCTTTTATTTATTTATTTTATATGCAAATCAAGAGCTCATTTATTTATGTTTTTAGGTGAAAAAACATGAATAGATAATAATACACATGTTGTGTATTTTTTTAATTATGTAAAATCATTCACAAACAACCATGATATGATAAATCAACCTTCCCATATAAATAAAAAATGATTATTCTATATGAGAGTATTTTTAATAATATTTTTTTGACAAGAGAATTTTTAAAAAAATTTTAACTTCATATCTAATTCTGTTTTTATTTATAATAATTATTTATCAATTAAATTTTATATTTCTAAAATAAATATCCAATTAATAAAAATAATATTGTGATACCAGTGTTTTAAAAACCAGATCAAATCGACCAGTCGAACTAGTTAGCTGGTCCGAATCTTAAGTTAGATTAGTTATGCAGTTGGCCTGTTTCAAACGGGATTGAACCGGTCAATTTTCCAGTTCAACCGGTGAACCGGTGGGTCAAACCGGTTCAACCACACTTATATATATATA